TGAGGCAGTTGGAGTACCCCTTCAGTGGGTCTATCTAAAAGACTCCCAAATTGCATAACTCTTGTCTCTAAGGGGAAAAGAAAGTCCTTGAATCATGAATAGGCGATGTGAAGGAGAAGTAAAGGCAAGCATAATTAGCATTAAAAGTTTTAGACGGGGAACTAGAAAAAAGTCAGAACAGGGCAATTTTCAAATGTTCATATGAGAGTCCATTGGAGTTTCTTGACAAGGGCTTCCAAAAGCATACCTCTATTGGGTTCTTCCTCATTTTTCTTTGGGGAAGACCACAAGTCTTACATCTAGACAAAAGTGAGATGAAGACCCAGCTCTCTTTCCACTGTCAGCATAGCTCTGAGGGACACATTTACGCTGACAACTTTCAGCACTGCCGTCCACAAGCTGAGGATCAAGCTTTATAGTCATTAAGAAAACAGGTGACAACCAGTAAGAATGAGCTCTCTCAGGGCCCACTACCTGGTGAGACCTGAGAAGCAGTGCTTTCCAAGGTCATGACCATGATGTCATTCCGGTGGTTAGCCAACTGAAAATGGGGAACAGAGAGGCTGTGAGAACATGGGTGACAAAAACAGAAGGCAAGGTGGCTCCGAGAGCCCTCACTTTGGTGTGACCATCTTGAGTCTGGTGTTGGTAGTTCCTCGTTGGTTACTATAGTTTTGTTCTTGTTGTGGTTGTTGTTGATTTTCTTGAACATTCTGACCACATATCTAGATTATCATCTGCAAATGATAATAGCTGGCCCTTAGCAGGTTCCCTGGGTCTGATAAAGGGATATCTTCTTCAAGGGACATTCCACCTGGTGTTCAGTAAACTACTCCGGGGGCAGAAAGAGACGGAGTGTGCTCTGGTTCCTGTCTTGTTTTGTGAGTTCTTTGCTTTCACATTTTCTTACTGTTACTTGCACTGAGTTCCTTATTAGCCCCCTGTGTTAGCATGTATGACCTGGAGTTATTCTGACTTTCCCACTTTCCTAAGCCTGCCCTCACAGATACCCACTTTATAATGTGTGACATACCTCCGCCACACAAGTCTCCCATTATATCCTAGCTAGTGGTGACAACAGCTGTGGGTGAGGACTGAAATTTTTGTCATCAATTTATATCCACTAACACAGGAGGAAACAGTCCCAAGTTTCCCATGGGAGCTTTGAGGTCAAAAGAAAACAGCCTCCAAAGAGAAAGCAGTGGATTCCTTCCCTGCACAAATCCAGCAGCACAATGGGGCAGTGCAGACAATAGATTTTCTCCCCCCCCCCAGTTAATCATTTATTTAATAACCACACACTTAGAAGAAGCATTTCATTACAACAGCATTGACTTATTCAATAAGAGTTTTCTGTGCTAAGATGATTCTTTTTCAAAATTGGCTGTAAATTTTTAGGTTTATAGTTGAATTATTACAGTTATACACTATTGTACTCAGTATAAACCCTATAAGACATAAATTAAATGATGTTTTAACCTTTAAAAAGATCTCCATTTCATTATTAAATACACAGTTTCATATAGAAAAATTCTTTTTCAATGCAATTGACATTGGATGTTTGCACATGCATTTCTAATCTCTAAATATCTGATTATTACTAGTCACAGTTGGTTACTTTCTGAGTATATCTGATTATTACTAGTCACAGTCGATTACTTTCTGAGCTCCTTGGCATCTGAGCATGGATTTCAATGTTTCAGGTAGATTTCAATGTTTTTCACATCTACTAATTATTATTTTTTTAATCTTTAAAAAAATTTAATAACTACTTGATTAGAAGTAGCATTTCACTACAGATTTAACATATTCAGTAACATATTCCAGAGCAAGAGTACATCTCTTTCACAAGTGGATGCAAGTTTCTAGGTTCACAGTTGAGTTAATACAGTTATACAATATTGAACTCAGTATAAGCCCTGTAAGATATAAAATTGAATGAGTTTTTAACCTTTAAAAAAGATCTCCATTTCATTTTAGAATATATTGTTCCTTGCAGAAAGACTCATTGTTTTTGCTACTAACACTGAGATGTTGACGCATGCATCTCTAATCTGTATGCATCTGAATATTACTAGTCATAATCTGTTACACTTGGATCCATGGCACCTGTGTATGTCTATGAAGTCATTGGGTAGATTTCAATGGTAATGTTTATCACCTCTACTAATTAGCATGATGGAATTTCGATGCTTCCTCCTCAAATATAATACATTTTTAAAAATTTGTTGATTTTTTTTGATGTGTGTGTGTATATCACACAGAACATCCCAAACCATCTTATTCAACTACACACCCACTTCCCAGATGGCACCCTCACATAGCCTCCCTCCCCCCACTAGAGTACTTATACTTTGATATCCCTGCTACTGTCTGCTGTGTTGTCAGCACCCCCAGCCAATCCCCACTACTTGCCCTTCTGGTGAATGTAGTCAGCCTATCTAGAGGTCTTTGTTTTAGGAGGGTCAGCTGTTCCTCTTCTAGTAGTAATCAGTTGTCAGTACTCCTTTATATAAGATTAGGGTCTGCTGTTCATTTTCCCAGTTCTATGCTGGGTTACTATGTGGTAGTCTCTTTAGTCCCCTAGAACTAGTCGACCTAGGAGGGCAAGGAGAAAAAACTGTCCTTTATGTCCCTCTGACCAAATTAGTATAGGCCTCAAAGTATGTC